TAGTATCGCTAAAGTTAAGTCTGTCTGTTTTGACCACAGAATATATATATGTGTATCAAAAATGTGGTCTCAAAATATTTTTTTAAAAAAAAGTAACAAAAAAAGTATTGCTGATAATCAGTTTGGACCAGCTTCTTAAGGTCACTAAGATCGTAAGCAGACTATAAGACAGGTTTGACTGCAGTGGTGTCTTGTAACCATGTTTTGATTTCTGTGCACAAGCTAGTCTGTATATTTCTATGTTAAAATGTATTCTCTTTTGAACCTTTATTTTCCTTGTGTCATGTTGAAATGTGCAATAGTCTATAGTTCACAGTATGCTTTATTGAGAGTGTGTTTCTAAAACTGCCACGTTTCCCTTTCTGTGAGTATTTGTTCATTTTTCCCTGACAGTTGAGCAGTCAGCCAGTCCTGACAGTGAACTTTGCACAGCGGAGCCAGCTCGAAGCAGCTGCCTGTACCACATTGTGCTCGGAGGTGACAAAGCATGGAGTTTCCCAACGGGAAAGGCCTTTTAAAAAGGAACAACAAAAAAGGAAAAGAGCTCAGTACCTTTCCTTTAATCCTTCCAAATCTAAATGTGTTTCCTGGTAGATGCTAGCCTGTGAAGTTTTGAGTAACAAAGCATTGAACAAATGTAAGGAAACCATGTCAGCCTTTTTTTCCATTTTATTTTGTGTGCAGTTTCAGCCTATGTATTTATGTAAATCCTTATTTAGATCACTAAATATGTACATTGAAAAATACATTTTTATCAGGTATGTTAATGACTGTCTGGAAACAGCTCTAGTGAAGATAGGTTGCTAAGATATTTTGTTTACATAGAGGACAAAAAATCATGAATCTTGATTGGCACAAACCATTTTGTGATGAGTCACAAATCCTACAGGATTTGCCTCCTCCCAAAAGTGCGAGGGAAAATCAGCCCCATTACTTATGCAAGTAGGTGCATCCTAAATGGCTGTTGCAGAGTTAAAACTCTTCTTCCTGTCAGAGCCTCTCATTCATCCTGTTAAAATATAATGCATGCTTTTAACATTCACGGTTGTGAGTGCCTTGGAGTGAGAGTTGTTTGCTTTTTCTGGTTAGAACTTCCTTTCTGTTTGTGTAAACACTCCACACAGTGACTTTAGGTGTCAGTGATCATGAATGTAGTATCTATTGAGAAAAATTGTTTTTGCATCTTCTCAAGTAAACATTATTATCATAACATTATTGCAGCAATCATTTTTGCTGTCTGCTGAAAGAGAATTAATATCTTTACTGGCCAAACCCTCCTTCTATCTAAAACATTTAGCTTGAGAAATCGTCTTTCTGACTTAAAAAGAAAAAACCCCTTCCTTAACACCTATTGGACGTATGTTACATACTTTCTGTGTAGTCTCTGGTCTGCATCCGAGCGGTGGTTCTGCCCCAGGCCAGGAGCTGTGCCGAGCCGGCGTGCCCGGCTGCCGTGCAGGACGCCGCGGGCCAGCGCTGGCCTCCCCGCGCATCCTCTGGAAGCTTCCGAGCTCCTTGGCCTCTTGCTGTGCTGTTTTTTCCCATGAGGTGAACTTTGCCAGCTCTGTCCTTTACATCTGATGATGTACCTGGCATATGTAATAACTGCCCTCCTACATCTGATTCTTATTGTTTCCCAAACTCCTTTGTTCTTACTTGATTTCTGTGATTTCCCACCTTGATGTTCCTTAAATAACTCTTAGATTCTCCTAGATATCTCCAGGAGTTAAAGCTGTATGTCCAGTCTCTGGTTCAGCGTAGCTGTGGAAATACGAGCCAGGATAGAGTTGGAGCTCCCTATGGTCTCATCTCTGTCGTGCTTCAGGTCCTAGCAGGTCCTTTCTTCTGCTACCCTGATGTGTGAGTACAGCTGCATCTCCCTATTCAGGAAGACGGCCTAGCTCCAGTTTTATTTTTAATTCCCTCTCCAGCTTCCCGCCTGCTGCCCTGCCGTGTCCCAGCTGCTGGGAAGCTGCCATTTGCTGAGCTGGCTTGCCAGGTCGGAGCAGGAGTTTCTGGCGTGCTGTTTGTGCTGCTGCTGTGCTTTTTATCTCGTTCGGACTTCTCCGGGTCTGCGTTTGAATGGCTGGGGTGCAGCACCTTGTTTCATGGTGATCACTGTGTCAGACATGTTAAAGATTCTTCACTCCTTTTCCACACACTTCTGCTTTGCCTAACTTGTAGCTCCCAAGAGCATTGCAGAATGTGCTCTGAAAAGCATGTTTAGGACACTTTTATCTTATTTGAAACACTCTGGGGAAAGAAAAGTTATTTACTCCCACTTTTGCTGCTTTACTGCTAAGACAGCTTTACACCAGTCTTACAGCCTTTCTTTTCAGGCCAATTTGTAAGAAATTGAACTTTTTATGCTCCATGCAATCACAAGATTTTGCTAAAATGATGTGTCACATGGGAAGGTGGTTCTGCAGTTCTTTCTTAAGGATTCTGAAAACCAACACAATGATTTATTTATCTTTTTCTCTCACTTGGTGAAAAGCCTTTGGGAAGAATCATAATAAAAGCAAAACAAAAGGTGGTATAATCTACTTGGATAAGTATAATTGAAATTTGACAAGATAGCCAGGTGTACTTTATCCCCAAATACCTTATAGACAAGCTGTTTATTTTTAAAGGTCAATCAAAATGAACCCTTAAGTAGGTACCAAAATATTCTAATTCTATCACAGCCTGATGAGATCAGATTAGCAGGGGTTTTTAGTGGTTAATTTAGTATTGCCCTTTTTTGCTCACAGCAAACAATCCAGTCTTTACTGAATATATTCTCTGTAAATTGAATGATATTGAAATGTGTCTCACAAAAGTACCTTGGGGAATCATCCTTAAGTGAATGAAAGGCTTGTAAGAGAATTCTACAAAACGGACACATATGTGGGGAGGTGGGGAATGTGGTTTATTTCTTTGGGGTTTTTTATTATTATTTAAGAAAAAAAAAAGGTTAGTTATGGAAGTTGGTAGTTTTCTGTCAATTTCTGATGTATATTTCAGAAAAGATAAAATAGTGTAAATAAGTGAACTGTGCCAATGTCAAATGGGCAACTGTAGAGTGCTTGCTGTGGTAATTTATAATGTATAACTCAAGGAAAATGTTACAGCAAACATTGTGATGTTTGTGTACATAAGCCAAAATCCAAAAGCTTGCTGATTTTAGAAAAATCCCATGATAATTGAAACTAAAAGACTTGCTTAGGCTAAATATATTGCCTGATTTTCTATTTGCTATAACAGAGATACTCATCAAAGCTACAGTTTTAGAATCTGAATTCTAACCCGTGTCTGCATAGTGGGATGTATTTTCTTTTAAAATTGATATCTACAAGCCAGATTACCTGGAATACTTCCCCTGGATTTGCTTGCAATGGTCTATAGCTTCACACATTAAACAGTAATAAAAAATGTCATTCTTGGCAGTCCCAAAGCACTTAAATGCATAGCTAAAGGTAAACTAATTCTCAGTTTAAAAGAAAAACAGCAGGTATTTTCATCAATACAATGCTCTCTGAAACAAGGGACATTTCAGTTGAAAATCGTGTTTCTCTCTGTTTTGCCATCTTATTGCAGTTCATTTAGGGGTTCTTGATGTCTGTAACATTACCTGGCTTTCAAAAGCAACACAAATTTCCTATTTTGTGAGTCTGTTAGGGTCAAAAGCCGATGCAAGATGGGATGCTGGCAGATGTCAGGAATAAATAAAAATTATAAATATTATTAGAAAATAAATATCCTCCTGCCTAACAGCTCTTCCAGAATAAATGTTTAATCCTAGCTGCCTGAGGAAGGAGTGTAAGGGGGTTCTGTGTATGTGTGGAAGAGATTATTGTGCAAAACTTAGTATTAATGACTAGGTATTTAGAAAATACATGTTGTGTTCGTTATACATGGCATAGTTTCAGTGTTAGGCTGATTTTTAGGATCATGCTTTCTGCTCTAATGATACCCCTAAAGTACTTTTGAGAGTACTATTAAAAACAAAACAACAACAACGTCCATTAGCGTAGTATTAGAGGATTTGTGATGAGATGATAATTATCTTCTTTGGGAAATGCTGAAAAGATCACAGCTCTTTTGCCCTTGAAATGCTATGAAAAGCTCTAGTCTAATTAAAGAGAATTTTTAAATTCACATATGTAGTCATTACAGGAGAAATGTCTTGTGGTAAGCTATAAATTTTTCTTGATAAAGTTCTCATTGCTGAACCAGAGAATGTTTTTAAGCACTAAAATAGTAAATGTCAAGCATAACTGACTCAATGTCTGTTAAATGTGAAACTTTGGAACACTTTTCCAATGAAGTTTGAGAAAGGATCGATCAGACTAGGAGTGTTTGATGATAGACTGGATGACTCAATACAATTTGGCTTATTACAATTTTGCTATCTGATCTCCCATTGTCCATTTTAACGGATAAATATATTAAATAACCTCCCTTTCTTCCATGTACTACTTATTTTGTGTTCAGTTATAGACCTTTGTTCCATGAAAAAGCTACATACGTGCTGATGGAGCCAAATACATATTTTTAACGTAATCTCTATATTTTGATGCATATGTATATCATGCATGAATTCCAGACCCAATTCGGCGGGTTGCAGCACCAGATGACAGCAGTGGGAGCAAGCACAGTGCTGTTTTTCCAAGGCCATTTTCAAGTTGTCTTTACCTCGCTGCGATGCAGCGCGTGACACTTTGTCCAGCCGTGTGACACCTCGGAACAGACTCAGCACTGGCTCTTGAGGTGAGCTCAGTCTCAAGAGGAAAATGGGCACGCGCTTGCTCCAAACACCCCCTGAAGCTTAGGGATTTTAGGTTGCTCCTTTATAAGCTAAATCTGAAAAAAAATCCGGAATTCTTAAGTATAATAATTTTCACAAGGCTTTTGTTATATAGTAGCTATGGTCACGTGTGGTTGCCATTTAAACTTAAGGTTTTTTAGGTCATTAAATCCAATAGGAAGAATTACTTGTTAGGCCTGTGCATTGGCGTATGGAGCCCCGAGGTGCAGAACCGAGAGGAACCGGGCGCTCCCGCTGGAATCGCAGCCGAGTCTGCGCCTGGCGCTGCCCGAGGAGCGGCCGCGTCGGCGGCTGCCCCGGCCTTTTGCTGCTGTCCCGGGAGGGCTACCAGGATTCCAGCGCGGGGGCCGCCCCGGCGCTGCTGTTTGCAGGATGGTGCCTGGCTTTGGATCCCCTCGCCCTCACACCGGCCTCCCCGGGTGCTGCTCCGGGCTTAGTCCTGCGCTGGGTCAACCTCAGCTGGATACACAAGTACTTGGAATGGCAATTTCTATTTATTGCCTTTTGCTGCTGTCCCGGGAGGGCTACCAGGATTCCAGCGCGGGGGCCGCCCCGGCGCTGCTGTTTGCAGGATGGTGCCTGGCTTTGGATCCCCTCGCCCTCACACCGGCCTCCCCGGGTGCTGCTCCGGGCTTAGTCCTGCGCTGGGTCAACCTCAGCTGGATACACAAGTACTTGGAATGGCAATTTCTATTTATTTCACTGTGGTTTAATCTACTATTCTGCAAAATAACTAGGAAACAGTTGGCATTACATTAAATAATGTTGTCAGATTAATCGCTAGTGGTGCAAAATTGCAAGTCACTCAGTTAATTGTAAGACATAGGTCATGTTTCAACAGCTTCAGTAACTGTCACAGTAAAGAAGGATTTCTTCAAAACTCTTGCAGGCTGCTGCAGCTACATTACATAACATTTTGCAGGAGCTTAGCCTCTTGCATGGTAATTATTTTGAGTAGTAATTGTTACTTTTTATAGCTAATTAGTTTTAAAGCCTCCCAAAAGTCAACTTTTTTAGCCCATTCACTTACCTGTTTTTAAGAAGAAGCAAAAATTGCGAGGTTATTTTCTAGAGCACTTGATTCACTTTTTTGTGCTTCAGGACTGTATCATGACGTGTCACACTTCAGTCTTGGAAAATGGTCAATGTTTCAGGCATTTTCCAGCAGTTCCACAAACAAAGGAATAGGCAAGGCCGAGTTACAGCTGACTTCCATTTGTCACTTTCCCGACCAGTTCTGATTTGTGGCTCTTCTCTCTCTTTCACAATGTTGAACTGTATTTAAGAAGGTTTGTATGTAATGTTTCTTGTCTGCTTTTTGTCTCTAGAGGAAAGCGTGCTCTATTCACATTTATATAAGCTGGAATCATATTTTACAATCACTGTTCATTATTTTCCCCCAGAATGCAGCACAAAAGGAAAATGAGCGAGGCAAAGGCTGATTTCTAGGGTTTGGCCTTCTGTAAAAGCTGAAATAGAGAGATGTGAAACTGCCATTTTCTTTATGAAAGACTGTAAAAAGAGCGATAATTTCTGAGCGAGCATTTCTGGGGAGGAGGGGGAGAAACCCTAGAACATGGAGTCTCATCAGAACCCTTTTGTTAACGGGTATTTTATTTTTCCTCTCAAATAACTGAGGAAATATCATGTATGAATTTATAAATAATTTCTTTCAGTTATTTCTTTTATATAAGCTGCCCAATACCCTTGCTATGCTGTATAAGTTGTGTTTCATGGAACAGTGTGAGTATGAAATAAAAAGCTAATTTTTGTTTTTTAATCATCTGTGGATGCCACTATGAAAGCTGACATTGTTGAAGCCACTACAGAGTTTTCTATGAATACTTGTAAGAATTGCTTTGTTATATATAAACCTAAATAAAGAGATTGTATTGATACAGAGACATTGGGTAAGAACATTTAAAAGGCTATTCTTTAGGTCTAAAAGAAATGGCTTGCTGTAAAATGGTGCATTATTCCATTTATTAAAGATCGTATTAATGACAAAGCCCAGTCTCCTGTGGGTTTTTCATGGTGCTCCCGGAGGAGATCTCCTCTTGGGGCTGTATTTCGTGGGCTGCAGGATGAGGAGCTACTTCGTGGCTGAGGGCCCAACAGGGTGTTCAGAGCCGTGTGCCAGACGGAGCGTTGCAGCAGTAACAGCGCGAGCGATCCGCATTTGCCGCCGCTGCATGGAAGCGGCACCTCCGCTTGCCTTGTCCCCTGCTGCCCCGGGGAGCCAGTCAGAGGGTGCCTGCGCTGGCGACTAAATATAGTTTGTGGGCGTTACAAAGTCCTTCTGCAGCCTCTTGTTACGCCTTGTCTGCGGGCTATGTGATTGATGAAGACAGACAGTGGAAAGAAAGAGAAAAGGGGAGAGGCCTCGCATGGTTGCAGGTTTTAGCTAAACACTTCTGCCCTTGGCTTTTGGTTTGGCTGAACTTGGATGGACGGTGGGGACGGTGACATCCAAGCGCGTGGGAGGAGCGCCACGAGCCACAGCCTCTGCGCCCGGACAGGAGCCGGGCCCCAGCAGACCCAGCCGGGACGGAGCAGCCTGCGCGAGGCCCCGCGGGCTGCGGGGCCTGCGAAGGCAACGCGCCGGAGGAGGCTGCGCCTCGCTGCGCTGCCGACCCCACTGCCGCCGCCGCTGTCCTGCTGTTCGGCAGGTCTTCTTGCAAGGACTTCCTTGGAGGGAGCCGTCTGGACCTTTCTGCTAATGCTTGTTCCTTCGCAGCGACGAGCTCTTCTCCAGCCCCCCTTCTCGCAGCGATACGTGCAGGGACCTTGAGCTGAGCCCTAGGTGGAAACACCACCCCGCAAACGTCAGCGCTTCCCGTTACGCACGTTGGCGGGGCCTGGCATTCACCGCTGTTGCTCTGCTCTCTGCATCTCTGCTTGTTACCTGATTCTTGGCAATTTGTCTTTGTAGCAACAGTGACTACTGATTTTTGCAAGCAAGTACGAAGGCGTTGCCAGGCTGACACCTCTGCGGGTGATGAGTTATCTCCGTAACACACACCACGAAGAGACACAGCGCAGTTTGGTGTCCTGCTGTCCTGACGGAGGAGGAAGCGGTGCAGAGGCTGCACACACGGTCATACCGTACATCACAACCCCCGGGAGCGCTGGGACAGGCCTCGTTTCCGGGAGCAGCCAAGTCCCACACAGCCCTGGCAGGTGCCACTGAGCTTCATCCCGGGGGCATCGGGGAAGCCTCGAGCCAGCTCTGCTGCTGAGTTTCCCTGAGTTTCCCTCTTTCCTGGCTTGTGAGCTATGCAGCCGTAAGAAATCCTTCCGCAGCACCTTCCTGCGCTCACCTCAGCCTCCTCTCTCCTGAAGATAAAAACAACTATTTTCCTTGCACTTATTTATTTGCTAATGGGGAAAGTAATAAAATAATTACATTCCCCTTCGTCCCAGAGCAGCGATGCCACTGCAGAACGTGCTCCATGGAACACAGCCACGTTGGTCTTTCACTTGTTCCCGTTCATTTTTTTCCTCCCATTTATTCCTTGCTAATTCTGAGTTTACAGAAATTCTCCATGTGCAAGGGATTATAGACACCTGCTCCCCATTGTGACCCAAAACACATTCTACTGTAAAAAATAACTTGAGGAAGAGGAAAGAGCGCAGGGTAGGGTAGAAATGTTTGTTTCGGGCATTAGCTACACGGTAGGTTTCAGCACTTGTCTTTGCCCTATTTCGTTGTTCTCTGCCAAGTGCTAGTAGGAAAAGGCTAATAGTCCTGGGCGTTGTGGTAACATCAAAGAGGTAAGAGCAGCTGTACAGCCCATGTTATCAGTGCTACTGCTTGTAACCGGCCTGCAAGCAGCTCCTCGGACTGGCAGGGGCTCTTTTTGCTTCCTTCTCTCACTTAATGCAGCCTTTGTTTGCCAGAAGTTAACACCCAGAGTCCCTAAACCGAGTGCCTAGCAATACGCTTTGCGTGAGGTGCTCTAATGCACCTGGAGCTGTGCGCTTTGTCAGAAGGGAGGCGAGTTTGTGTCTGTGTTTTTTGCAGTGACCAGTATTTTATCAGTCTTCCTCTCCTGGGTGCCTCTCGTTGGAGGGGCAGTAGCTGGCCCTGCGGAGCTATAAAGAACAACTTGTAGCTCCTCCGGCCGCCTGGGCGGTGTGGAACCAGGTTGGAGCCAAATCCCTGCACAAAGCTCTGGGTCTGAACGAGTCCGGGAGGCTGCTGCTGCTGCTGCTGCTGCACACACTGGTTTTACCGGCGCAATCGAGCCGGGCACAGGTGGCAGGAGTCTCCTGCGGGAGGGTTTGCTGGTGTGTAATGGAAGGTATTCACCAGGGAGCACCATTACTGTTGCCATGCCAAGGTATTTCTTGCAGGGTCATTAAAAATGATCAGTCAGGCTTCAGGAACCAGCAGGTGGTTTAATATCCCCATTACCAGCAGGCTAATTTTATTTGTTGTCCAAATTCTGGAAGTTAAGATTCAAGGATATCATGAGTTGAAGCTTTACCGAGATCCTGAGGGTGGAAATACGCTAAAAACCCCAGAGAGCAGATGTTCCCACAGCTGACTCCAGCTGCTCCTTTCCTTTAGCAACTGGACACTAATGCGCAACAAGGCTGTTACTTACTCTCCCTGATGACATTTCACATGTTCAAAGTACTGATCTGTCTGCCATGCAAAACACACAGCGTGCAGGTTTGTCCCTAAAGAAATTAAACAGGTTCTTCTCGCAAGTCCTTTGCGTGCTGTGGATGTGCGGAGAAAGCATCTCCCAGGCTGCAGCTAGGAGTTGCACTAAGGAACAGGACTTGTCAAAGAGGCCTTAGCTTAATGACAGCGAGGGCCTGAAGTCAACGGATATTATTTATACAGTGACTTTTCTTAAGGATTTTAACTGCATAATCTATGGCAAAGATGCGTTTTGCCGTAAGTGCTTATTGCATTTAGCTTGAATTATGCTGAGATCCTGTTGTTTGTACTGTTCCAACCTCACTACCTTATTTCAGCCTGTTGGCCTCCCCAGGTCCTCGAGATGTTCTGGAATCGTAACGAGGCTCTAACAGCTGGAGGAAGAAACACATTCTACTACAGTTGTCCTTTTTTTTAATGCCTTTTTTCACCTGTTTATGTTGAGTGCCCACAAAAACAAGCAAAATTAACTCAGTCTGCAGGGAAGAGACACGGAAGTGCAGTCAAATGCCTGCAGCATAATCTAATATTTAGATTAGACTCACAGAATTTTAATCTTTCAACCTTCGATATTACTTACCACAACCACAGATAAGCAATTTCAGCGCAGAGGGCTGTTGCTGAAGTACTGTTCTGCATTTATTTATTTATGCATTAAGACAAGAACGTATTTGAACTTGCTTTGAGCATGGAATTTTTTCCTGTGTTTGCTCATTACTATTATTTTGAACACAGTGTATTTTTCGTGCATATTACTCTGTGGGTAATCCTCACAAGCCTTCAGGCCTCGGTCTGACAAAACTTCCTCAGGTATTACTGCTTTTGATAGGCAGTAATCAGTGGGATGTCGGCTTATGAGCTTGTTTCTTGGCCCTTGTTTCTGTTTTACTTTCAAGGTTACTGTTCTGACCACTTCCTTAACTTGTTTATGTTCCTGTTTTCAGAACATTTCAAATCGGTGTATGCAGCTCTGTGTTTTTTATCTACATGCTCTGAGGACACTTTTGACATGCTTCTAACACCTGGATTGATTTGTTTGTACCTTCCCCTCTTACTGGATACTTGCTTAAGAAATATTGCCTGGAACAGGATATTCATTCTTCTTATTTGGGATCTTTGTTGGCCGTTTCACACTGGGTGTTATGGGCAGAACAAGACTGTTGCTGATGTGAAGTAGCTGCAGCCTAAAGGTTCCACAAGAAACTGTATAAGATGTCCACAGTTGGCCGGGACACCACTGAGCAGCGTCCGTACATAGTGAGGGGGGACAGCTGACACAAAACTTAAATCTCTGCGTGATTAGCGTTGCGTACATGGCTTCACATTTTGAAGTTCTGCTCAGGTCCAATGCACGCAAAGCAATGCAAGCGGTGGTGAGCAGTACCCACAAAGGCCTTTCTTTGTACTCAGAGCAGCTGCGGGAAGCAGTGCCACTTCTGCACTGTGACAAGAGCGAGGGAAGTACCAAAATTATTCACCACATCTTGTGCATTCAAAATTGCGGCTTGGCTACAGTTCATCATGCACCTAAATATGAATAAGTACCTTTAGTCTTCTGGCCTCTTCAAGAGGAATCAGGAATTGTTCGGTTTATTTTATGCCTTAAAAATGGTGTGCTGCTTTATGACATGTTGCTTACAAACAAATCCAGTATTTCTGGAGAGGATAAACCGTGTGAATAATAAAAGCTGCTGAGCAGCTGCACTGGCACTGGCTGTAAGGGGTAGTCCTTAGGTCACACCAGGAAGGACTGTAAAGAGGATTTCACCTTTTGATCCAGATGGAAAATCGCACAAAAGGAGTGAATGAATGCTGCCTAGGTTTTTTGCACTGTTCAGACTTTCTGCAGTGGCAGCAGCTTCTCAAGCTTTGGATCATCATATTCACACTCCTTGACTAGCCTGTACGTAGGACACCACCGATCATGAGTATGGCCACGCTTGATCCCAGGCTGCTGGAATAGCAGCAGCGAGGCTCCATCCGTTTCCCCAGAACATGCTAAGGGGCTCCTTTTCTGCCTGCAGGGATTTACACGTGGAGCATTAGGAAGTGCAGGTTCTCCCTGCAGTGCACACGCGGTCACCAAGGGAATTGTGCGATCTGCTTCCTCCAGCGCCTGCCACGGGCAGCCCCTACTGCTCTCTGCCTCCCTGGTGAGGACCGTGCTGTTTCCCCAGTGCTTCGTTAGTTAAGCAGGTTGTCCATGTTCTGACCCATTGCCCTAGCAGTGCCTGTGATGGCTGCAAGAAGTCACCGTGTGTGGCCCTAATGTGTGATTTCTGGAGTGACTGAAGGACACTTTAAGCAGGGATAAAATGGGTGTGTTGGTGAGCAGCCAGGTGGCTGGTGCTTTCAAGTGTAGTCCAGGATAATTCCCAAGAGAGAGCACAGTGTTGTTGCTGACTGTGGTTGGCCCATCTGTCTGTCCTGCAGGCCAGTTTACTGTAATTTACAGGTCCTGTGAAGGATGTGTGTCCTTTGAAATAAATTTAGTTACTTTAGAATGCAAGAGCTAACTTACTTGGTTCTCAGAAACACATCAGTCCTTTTCAAAGGCCAAGAGGGGCTTTTTCAGCAAGGGAAGCGTCAATCAGACAGCAAAGGAGAAAAAAAAAAGCTGTAGACAAGCAAGAACAATATGTAACTTGTCACATCATTTGTATCACACCATTGGTATTCAGTTGCAACATACAATTTCGCAGGCCAATGCTGAAAAGAATCTGGGTAAAGAAAGTCCTCTTCGGTAGCACAGAAGTGGCATTTGCCAAAAGGGGAGAGAGAGGATTTACTGATTCCTCCATGTGTTGAAAGTGCTAAATGGCATTTACCTTGCACCTAAACGATCCGGATTCTCAAACTACGGCCCACTGAATGCATGAATCCAATTTTCTAACACATAAATCACGTTAAAAGGCTGACTGCAATCCACAAGGCCTTGAGAAAGATCTGCTTTGAAGATGCCTGAGCAAAGGATCTGATGGAGAACCGTAACCACCGCAATTAAAGGGAAAGGGGGTCAAGTCTGCCTGGATATTACCCGCATGCCTGGTGCCATCATCACTAATGCTAAGCTGGCGGCACAGCGATTGGATAAACTGCTGCTGAGCCCCCATCCTCTCCTCTGTTGTATTTGGAGGAAAAAACAACTGAGTAGCCCTACTCCTACCGTACCGCG